TTGGCGCAAGACCAAGACCAAGACTGGCTAAGTCTCTTCTTGTTCTTGCATTTGGGCAACACTAGTCGATATTACAGTTGTAAACCAAAAATGACCTCTTATCACCATAATTTGGCCTATTTTTTCAACGTTTAAAGTGTAGCAAACCAACATATAACTCGGCCCGCAGACGCTTGTGATACCAAAAATATTTATCGCGCCGTTGCTTACCGTGTAGTAATGGAATTTAACTCACGGACAGAAACACAACACCACCAAAAACTAGTGTTATTTTACTGTGGCCTTCTGTGTGTACGAGAGAATCTAGCCAATACAGTAGTATTTTTTAAACTTGAGTTATTACAGTATAAGATATCTTGAAAAGTCGTAAGCAGAATTAAGTTTTTCCTTTTTATTATTTTTCTCGCAATCAACTCTGGCTCTGTTTGTTTACTACTAAAGGTAGCGAGTAGAAGGGGCACCTCATGACGTGACGGGAGCGTTCTTGAAAACATCGTTTTATAATAATGGAGGGTATCCGCTTTGCCTGGGGTGTTCACTATGCCCGCCCTTCCACTACTTACTGTTAATATTAGTAAGTTATAGTTTAAATAAAACACTGTTTCAACGAGTTTAAGATGCGTTTTTTTATACTTGTATTCACATCTCAAGGTTTGGATCCTTAACAAGCGCCGTACTGAAGAGTATGATATTATTGGTTCATACTCTTGAGAACAGAACCCGTAAAGGAAAAAAATAAACAAAATTCATAAAATAAATAATGTTTTATACAATAAATGGTATGCTTGAAAACAAAAGAAATAAATAAGTCATAGTGTATACGCAATATGGTAATTACTTACTCAATCAAATTATTTTTCATAACAATTTTGGTTTGTCTGCGGTTGACTTCTTTAGTATTGAGCCCATTAGTGAAAGTAATAATCCCATAGCTGAAAATAATAGTAACTGAGCAGCTCTATAGATTACCACTTTCACTTTCCTAAGTAAGCAGGTACGAAAGATTTTATTATTTACCTATATACCATCGTTTTAACGATTTTACATAAATTTTTTTTAGGTTACCTTGAATAAGTCAAAGTGCAAAGAAAAGACCTGTTTATACATATTTGACTACCTGTGCCCTATTTCACCAAACCGACATCCGACATTATGTCGCTGACATAATAGGCTAGTTGACCCTTTTTGGAAAAAGGTTTTAAATGGTTAATAAATGTTCTATTAGACCGAAAAAAAATGTATTGTATTTTTTTTAAACCTAGAAAGCTACAAATCTTTAATTTTAAAATAGACTTTTCATGGACATACAAAAACGCTGTCGGCCATTTTAGTCTATAGATTATCTATGCTATGACGTGAACTGTGGTAAACAAAAACTCGTAAACACGTAGAAAACTACTTTTAACTGAGTTTATAATAAAAAAAACATGATTTCTAATAAATACCACGAAAAATAAAGTAATTATCGTTACTGTATTGTACGAGAATATAAAAACACATCCTTGTAGACTCCAGGAAAGTTGTGGATTAAAGTGCCGAAAGAAATTAACCTACGCAACTTTATTACACTTATTCATATGTTGTATCAGTTTTATGTTTATTACTACATTGTAATACTAAATGCACTGTACTTACATAGATGCCTTGTCGTTTCTCTGCTCCGCAGAGCAGAAATCCGGGTTTAGTGCAACAAATTCACCAACCATCAATGCGTCAATTCTTGGCAGATTTGTGCTTTCTGCTTTCACAAAGCCGGCATCCATAATTAGGTTTGTCAAAAAAAACTTAGTTAACTGTTTGTTTTCCTAAAGTTAAAAGTGTTTTAAGATAAATTTAGTCAGACGAAAGAATCCACCTACAGTAACACGCGAATGACATTTAGTTGTTTACCAGAAGCGACGTCAAAATCATGGCGGACGTGGCGAACAGCGTTTTTAGTGTTTAAAAAATATAGACTAAAAAATTTTTTTTTAAATTAAATTTCTACAGCAATCTTCTACTTTTATGAAGTGAAATCGATATATTAAGGTTCCTTAGACTAAATACTTTAAGAAATAAACATTTATTTAATAGAATTCGACATGAGTAAACTAGCCTATTATGTAAGCCGACGGTTTATTGTGGGGTGATCTATTATATCAAAATTTTCTTTAAACGCAAAATCTGTGATGTCTAAAGGGAAATTAATTAGTTCTTTATATATTCTCTTGTATAAGAACTCATCTTCTCAAGCTTTCGCGGAGAGCTAATTTGTAAGTAAGTACGAAAACACTACAATTGTAACGCAAATCTTATACAGCCACGATTTCCTGTCAAGAATTACTGGCAATTTGACAATTGCGTCGATTTAAAAAAATTACCCTTCTTTCACAACACAATTGTCGTTGAAGTAAGATACGGAAAATTTACAAATTGTACCAAAATACCTGTCATTTTTATTACATGTGTTGGTGACATATGTCGATTCGGTGAAGTAGGGCCCAGGTGCCTCTGCATATTCTTCAAATTAAATATTTACGTGACAAAAAGTGGACTATGACCTTCTTCATCATGGTACCCTTTATTCATAATGGTATAAATTGAGATATTCAGAGAAGAATACACATTATTATTCACATATGTATATACTAAAGTTTACACCGGTATAGCTACGAAAACGTAACATACAGACAGTTTTATTTCGCCTAAAAAAAATATGGTAGGGCCACAAAGTTGCTATTCTGCGGTGCGGGGCAACGGCTAAGTATACGATGCGCGTGCGTCACAGCGATCGACGGCCGGAAGTGACCTCCATAACTATTCATCGCTTTAAGGTGCGTTCAGACTACGCTATCCTATTGGGCTACATGGTATAGCGCGTATAGCAAGCTCATACAATATAGTATAGCGTGATGTGAACGTGTTCATATCACACTATTCCATATTGTATTTTTTTGTTTCCTCCCAGGCAGGGGTGCCGTTGTGAAATCTTCATGGATACCCTACAGCCCGCTGCAAGGTTATGTCAGACTCCTGACTAAAACACGTCCGAAGTTCAAGCTTATGGCCGGAAGGGCCTTAAAAGGGTAGACCGATTCACCGTTATTTAGGGTAGACCGATACAAGAATAACTTTGACGATGTAAATAATGATCTCTCACAAGTATTGCACTGCTTTAATGTAAATAACTTAAAATAAAATGCAAATACTATTGCATTGCATTAATTTCACTTTACCTAATGTTAAAAAAGAAACCGTTAGAATTAAATTAAACAGTGAAAACCTAGATTTAGTCGAATCAACGATATTCTTAGGTATAACCATAGACTCAAAATTGTAAAGGTATCCTCATATTTCTCTGCTAGCTGGTAAACTTAGTTCAGCAGCCTATGCCATACGTAAAATAAGACAACTTACTGATGTAGCTACTCCTAGAACTGTATACTTTAGTTACTTTCATAGTATTGTATTCAATGGAAATATTCTCTGGGGAACAGCAGCCGATATTGAAACTGTATTTATCGTGCAAAAAAGAGCTATAAGGGCTATTTATCAACTAAGTTCTAGAACACATCTTAGAGAAAAAGTTAAAGAAATCGGGATTTTAACTGTTGCTTCTTAATTCATTTATAATTGTATACTTTTTGTTAGAAGCAATATTAACTATTACCTCAAACACAGTGACATACATTCTTTTAATACAAGGAATAAAAATATACTCAAGATACCAACTTACAGGTTACAGGAGGTTCTTAAATCATTTATTGGTCAAGGTATACATTTCTATAATAAGATTCCTAATGATATTCTTGATTTGCCTCTTCATAAATTTAAAAAATATTATACTGTAAAACATCATTTGAATGATAAAACGGCCTGATTGTAATTTTACCTGTAGATAATTTTTCAAAATTTATATTAAAACTGGGGGCCTTAGAAAGAATTTTGAAGAGTACCTTGCACTTACTCCTTTTCATATACTTGTTCAATTTGTTTTGAAGATTGTTTCTTGCTATTTTGGGACTTTACACTTATTTTTAGTAAATTCGTTAATTGCCTATTGTAACCTATTTGACATTATGTGATGGAAGTTAACCTATGTCACACATGTTTGCAAGTTTGATGTCAACTTTCAATTTGACGACACTGTATGAAATAAAACAGGGAGAAAAAAGCAGCCCTTGCTGAGTTTCTTGCCGGTTCTTCTCAGTACAAGGTCTCCCGCTGTATAGTAGTTTTGCGAACAGATGGAGTAATTTTAGACTTTCACATGTGCTTGTAAAAGCCTAAACTAAATAAATGACTTTTGAATTTGAATTTGAACAAGCTTCATCTGAAGCGATCATCCCCTGAGAGGAGGATGATGAAGAGAGAAGATGATGTTTTCAAGTGCATACTTACATATCTTTATAAAAACTTAAAGATGACGCGATCCAGAAGCCATTGCCGTTGGTACTTGCGGTAGCTACAAATTAAAAAAAAAACAAAATTTTTCTACCGTTTTATCGGCGTGATTGATATACATATCTTAACAAAATTACAGCTCTCTAGTGTTAACAGTCTCCCAAGCAAAACCAGGGACGAACAGACAGACGGACATGACGAATGGGTTCCTTGTCAGGTCTCCGGAATCCTAAAAAGGAGACATAGGAGCATAGAATGAGTAAAATTATATTTTATGTATGAAAATCAATTCTTTAGTGATAAAAATCGAGAGAACGTTGGTATGGAAAAAACATTGCCCCGCCTCCCGTCTTAATCGACTGCTGATTCTAATACAATTGCAGTGATGTGTATGTGTGTGTAATAGGCACATTTTGATGTGAAATTACGCGTTCAAGTGTTTCTTTATGTAAAAGCGCAGTTCCTATTTTATTGTTAGCAGAAGCAAGAAATTACTCATTATATTTTATTCTAATTATTTATACAAGTTACTTCTGGCGCTGTCTTCTGCCCTGGGTAGCGAGTCAGCTTATGACTAGCAGACTAAAATTCTAAATAATCTTCATTTTGTTTGATAGTTACTGCTGGCACTGTCGTCCACCCTGGGTGGCGTGTCAGCTCTACTGCTGCTGGCTGTTCCAGTGGGCCGGCTCACCATCACCTTCCCGCCGGCCGTGGAGCTGCTCACCACCTGCCGGGATGGTTTGCAACTCCAGCACATGAACGATTACCCCTGCGAGCCACTGCACCCGTACCCTTACGATGTCAACTTGACGTTAGTGCCATGTGTTTATGATGTTATAAAAACTACAAATGATATTTATTTTCATCCATATTCAAACAATTCCTAAGCAATGGGGCGTTATATTTTATAACGGTTTGTAGGTATCTTGTTAGAATTTCTAGTGGAAGTCTTGTTAGTTAATAAACTACTAATTCATCAACGTTGCAGAATAGTATCATGCGGATTCGTCTGCGAATTGCCTGAAGGTCTACCAATGGAAGAAGTTAATATGATTATGCATTCGCTCTCATATGACATACAAATACGGTCATCGTCTGATACGCATCGTCTAGTGTATCGACATACCGTTTCTGGCTTGTTACATCATACCATGGCACCGAAGAAAGACCAGAGTACTACTCGCATAATGACCAACGATGTATATTTCAATACTTCCATCGCGAAAATATCCGATCAAGAGGTTTTCTTCCCGGCACCACGGCTGTATCAGATGGCGTGTACTCACAATTCCTCTGAAGCTATGTGTATATTGGGAGGAGAACAAATTTTTGATGATATTTCTGAAAGTAAAACTGAGGAATCTTACAAAGTTCGAGTGGCCAATGAAGAGAAAAAACGATTACTTAACATAGTTGGCTTGTACGCTGGGAATTCGACAGAAGTAGAAGAAAACTATCAGTGCAAAGATTACTTTAACGTACGTATGACGATGCTATATATTTGAACATATTAGTAATTACTGTTGGTTATATACCTATATGTATCTTAAAAATTACCGAGGCTAACCATCATTTTAGGTCTTCGAAGGGGAAAGCGTCAAAGTGCACGTGACTTCAATGCAGCTGTCACGTTGTTCAGCCGCATGCGCGGGGACCGTGCCTCGGAAGACTTTATGTGAAAACAAAGTACAGCATGTCGAGGTGGACCCAGCTTTCACTTTTTGGGCTTATCTGGCCGTAAGTATTTAACGTAATAACACATTAACTATCTAAGTAGTTACATGTTTAGAAATCATATATAATAACTACATGCTTGGAAATCATAGTTAATAATTTGTTACCTACAAGGTAACTATAGTTTCGGATTAAGACCGCATCCCGGTTAATTTCGAGGATAAAGTAATAAAACCTAAGGGCATGGAGGTGGATTATGATCTCCTAAACTGCTACAGTTTCAAGGGGACCACGTGGCAGGTTAACGCAAACGCAACGAGATGGAGAGGCGGAACCGTTAATGGAAAGATTGCCGAGCGATCTTGGCTAACTGGCTAATGGCGAACTTGATCCGACCCGGCCAATGCCTGCGGCCCCGTTTCATGCCGCTGCACCCATCCCGACCTACTCGACTCGACTGGCGCGCTTAACCGCCCATCGGTCGCTATGCTCCCGGTGTGCTTGTTATAAACATTTTATAATAACACTATAAGATCATTTTAACTAATTACTACTTTAGCATAGTTATCGTTAGAGGAAACTTTTCTATCGGAAATGCTGTGTTCTTGCATTGAAATCAGAAATGTCGTACTTTGTTATTTTTATTAAATAGACACCAACATACATTAATTTGTTGTAGGTATCATTAACATTTAAAAATATATTTTCAGAGAAAAACACCAGCCACGAGAAATTGCCTTATGACAAGTGTAAATTCATGTGTAGGTACTTATAACACATTCAGTTTTTTAAATGCTAACTGAAGAAGGAAAATTTATTTAAGCTTTTTTTGGTTACGCCACCCTGCTTGGGTCTTTGGTAAATCTTTGTGTTCTTACTGTCCTATATGTGTATGTGTTTATATTATTCTTCAGCGAAGATTTAGGAATCATCAATAAATTAAAGTCTTAAGAATGACGCTATATTTTGCTATTCACGACTGCGTGGATAAAAGTTAATCAAAAAAGTTTGTAAGTTCATAAGTAAGTAAGTATGAATAGTGGCGCGAGAAATTAAAGTAAATGTGATAACTACCAATTTTTTATAGAACGATAGAAGTAGGTTCAGATTTTTAAAAAGGTTTGAGTATCCTATTTTGTATGGGACCAATCACAACTTTGTTAAACCTTAATCTTTTAAATCAAAAATGTCGTGCTCGTTCTAAGTTATACAAAGAAAAGTCATGGATCAAAGCGCAACCTACTTATGATTGAGACATTTTGAATTATGTGAGGAAGACGTAACTGATATGGTGATATTATTCCATCCGCGCGCGACTGATATCAATATTGTTTTTACATTTCGGTACATTCAAACAAGAGTCAACAATCGTGTGCAATTAAATAGCCGCGTATGTCTTGTTTAGTGGTAAATATTGCGGTTGAATTTGTGGCGGTGGCATCGCATATCATGCGAGCTTAGAAGTTTCGTTTCGCAACGGTGTAAAGGTGGCTGTGGCCTCGGCCCAAATAGGGCACACACGCTTCACCTACTAGTGCGTTTAGCTGAGATTTATATCTTACTATTCAATAAACGCCAACGCATTTTGATGGATATGATGAATTTAATAATTATTAAAGGTCGGTGAATAAGTATTTTCGATTTTCTATGTGACCCTACCAAGTTTCGGAACTAGGATCTGAGCATAGGCGACACTTTGAAAACCGTTATACACACCACTCTACCACGCAGGTCGCCTAATGAAAATGAATAAGCCTCGATCTTTTTCTCCGTAATCGAACAAAACTTTTCTCGAAGATAACTGGGAGCGAAAGAAAATACGCTAAAGATAACCGACCATCTTCATGTGCTTGCCATCAGTATCCTTTTTTGACGGGAAATGTATTAGATCAGTGGTGATTTTCAGCTTTACCTTCATTCAACCAAAACAAAAGGGCGATCAATGCGATTGAGTCAAAAACTGCCAATTCTTGATCAACAAACTGAGCGAGCTTTTAGTATACTTGATGATAATTGCTCGATTAGGCGTGAAATATGGCATTTATGATTAAGTACGGGTGGCCGTCTGTTGGACGCAGTCGATAACTCCCTTACTGAAATAAAATTATGTTAACGTCGTAGCACTCGAATAAACTACAGTTGTCGGTGGTAACATTTCAATGCCTATGCGTTATTAGTAATTAATTATTATAGTAGATACTTATTTAATTTATATTCATTTTATTCAGAACCTTTTTTTAAATTTCAATTAAATAGAATAAGTACCTTTTTTACTGCATCAGTATTAAAATGTAAAATTGTAAAAAACTTTACAAGTACTTGTAAAGTTTTTTACAATTTTACAATAAATCTTCTTCACCTAATAGAAAGTGTATTTTTTATTCACATTGGGTCTTTTCTGTTTATTTGTCAGGTGCGAGTGTTTATCGGTATAATAGGTGGCACGGCGTTTGCCATGTTCGAGGGAGCGGTGATAGCCATCGTGCGCGAGCAGCGTGCCGACTACGGGCTGCAGCGCGTCTACGGCAGCATCGGGGGCATGATATCCTCACCTCTCTCAGGGCTGCTGATCGATTACGTCAGTCGCGGCAAAGGATACACCGACTTTAGGTAGATTTACTTTAGATACCAAAAATAACAAAGTAGTCAGTAGTAGTAGGTAGTAGTAGCGCGTCTACGGCAGCATCGGAGGCATGATCTCTTCGCCTCCTTCCAGGCTGCTGATCGACTTTGTCAACCGCGACAAGGGATTCACATTTACTTTAGATACCACAAATAAGAAAGTTGCCAAAAGGTCTGTAGGGGTGCACCGACTGCAGCTGTATGTATAGTTATCTCAAGTTGTAGCGCAGTAAACAAAATTAAGGATGATGTCACATGAATTGAAACCTGCACTGCTCATGTGGCGCTCGCTGCTAACTTCACAACCGTCATACAGTTTGAATCGCACTACACAATAGAAAGTAGCCAAGAGAATGACTTTCGCCATGCTTGGAAAAATTACCTAAAATTACCGCTTTTGATTTTGACCACACGTGTTACGAATAAGGGCGTGCGCTGTGTTAAGCGGGAGCACGAAGCGGACGTCCGCTCCACGTGTGGTTTTATGTCATTTCATAGAGCAGCGTTGCTCTATGATATAACACGAAACAAACACGCGCACGCGCGAACGTGCACTCCGTGCTATCGCTTAACGCAGCACAGGGCCTTAATTCTGCTTGAAACTGCGTGGGAATGCCTGTAAACGTTACGTAGTAACTATTAAGTAATCTGTGGTAAAAATGGTAAACGTAACGTGAATGAATGAAAATTACGCTTTCAGCTTTGTTCTGAGACGACTCTCTGGTTGGGTGGGGCGCATTGGATTTATTATAAGTATATAACAATAAGTTCATGGTGGGCGCATAAAGTAACTTAAGGAAGGGCGCGGCGGTTTTTTTTAAACACACCAATTAGCCTAGACCCAAAGTAAGCACTATAAGGCTTATGTTATGGGATACTAGGGTAACGGATAGAATACATATACTTATAAGTATATTAATATAGAAATGCATATTAAACATCCATGACTGGAGTACAAATGCTCGTATTCATCACTCAAACATCTGCCCCCACCGGGATTCGAACCCGGAATCTCTCGAGTCGGCGACATCATGAAACCCGGCGTATAAACCATTGGGCCACGAACATTTGTACTTCGTGCAAATATAACCTACATATAAGAGTTAAATGGGGCTGAGGTGGATTCCAGACGATAGCGAATTGAGGGTGGTTGGTGGTGCGGTGGGCGGCAGGGCTGCTTCATTTACGACTTAATAACCTAATTCCGTTAACCATTTATAGACAGTAACTAAAAACAATTTTCTTTATCCGAAAAGGGCGGGAAGTTTAAGATTTATCTTGGTTTATGACAAAGTTAACTCCCAGGGCATAGATAACATACCTAATGCTTACTATTTCCCATGGTCATTTAGGGGATTTATTTGGAGTTTGATTCTTTAAACACATTAACTATGTAATATTTCACTACCGTCATTTCAATATTACCTACTGGTCTAAGATCCGAACCTACATCGACCTTCACCGAGCTGATAATACAATGAAACATATTTTATAATTAATTTAGTATATTAGAAAATATATTAAAAATATGTTGCCTAAAAAATTCCTGGACAGACTAATTTAATAATTAAAAAAATATACTTATATTTTTAATTAAATATTGCAACATCAAGATAATACATTTTAATTATTTAAAAATAATTAAAATAGTCTGTCCAGGATTTATTAGGCAACCCATTTTTAATATATTTTGTAAAAACTAGTCATGATTAAATATGTTTCATTCTATTATCAGCTCGGTGAAGGCCGATGTAGGTTCGGATCTTCTACTATACACGAAGAGGATATTAAGTTTAATATGACCATCGAGATGGTTTATTGACTTTAATATGTTTTTCTACCTATAGATTTCATATATGTAGGAAGACATAAAAATACGTCAACCTTTATTCCGATAGCCTTGAATTACAATATAAGTAATCATATTGTTTGTTCAAATTACTTGTGTACAAAAACGTATAGGCATTTAAATATTTTATTAATTATCGTTATTATTGGCAGCAAGTAAACTGCGACTGACCTACTTCTTCGTCTTCAAATGTAATACGGATTTATTGTCAGCCTGTGAGCTAAACAGTACATAAATGAAAGAAGTTTTAGAACAGAGAAGAACTATAATACCTACAAAATCAGTGTCATCATATAAGTATGCAGCATAGTATAAAACTGAATGAGATCAAAAATTAAAATATTTATTTATAATAATGCTTTATCGGTGTCGATTCTGGCACAATTATCTAAACCTAAACTTAGATTTGACAACAGTCTATCTTTGTCTTTCTGTATACGGAATGAAAAGGAGAGACTGATTTTAAATTTAGTTTTAAGTTTAGAGAATCATGCCAGAATCGACACCATTATACACGTTATTTTAGTAGCATATTCTTAGATAACAATGCTAATGGTCTATCTTTCGTAGGATGCTCTTTATCGTGGTGAATCAGAAGCCCTCTTCTTGTAACGAATTTTTGTGTGCAAAATGAACACTGGAATGGCTTCTCACCAGTATGTTGATACATGTGATACTGAAAAGTAAAAATTTACATTTTAGCCAAAATAATTATATTTTTGGTATGTTGCTTTGGTGTGTACTTTATAGTACAAAAACAAGGATTAATTTATTTAGTTTTTGTTATACACAATTTATCAAACATTTTTTTTGTATTGCATTGGACCTATCCTATATTCATAGTAAAAGACATAAATAAGTACACAAAATAAAAATTCTGACATTTTTTTTACTAAAAGCCTTAGTTGATTTGAAATGTTATTTAAATACATTTATTGATAGTTTATTATAGTGATTGTTGAAACAGAAAGAGAACTACTTACTGTAAAATTATCCCTCCTCATAAAACTGTGTTCGCACATTGTGCATTGATATTTATATATTCCTTTAACAGATGTCAGAGGAGTTCTGGGAATAATTCTAGTTAGGTTTACTTGATGCTCTCGTATTATAGGGGGCCGGTACTTCAGTTTAGACTCCACGGTTCGACCAGGATGCATACGACTTCTGTGAGAATAGCAGTTGCCAGAGCTTGCAAAACTTTTGTCGCAAAATGGACATTTATAGGGCCTTGCCCCTGTATGTTGATTAATGTGAAACTGCAATAGAATAAATCATATTTAAATTATATAAATAATAGATGAATCATTAACAAAATATATAATGATATTATCTTAAGTTTAATTGAATCATTCATACTCACTTTCAAATCTTGATTTCTCTTAAAACTTTTCTTACAGATATGACATTGAAATGGTCTCTCGTTGCTATGAGTAATACTGTGTGTCTTCAAGTTGCTCTTCGTTTTGTAAGATCTTCCACATACTTTACACGTGAAAGATCTGTTATTTGGAAGATGAACAGACATATGAATGTCTAGATTTTTTTGAGATCTAAAGCTGTAAAAGGAAAATAAAACAGAAAACCTTTAATAGAACCATAGTGGCTTATATCTTCACCTGTTGTTTTAAGATGTTCAAATGAGGCTGAATCAAATTAAACTCATTCAATATAAAACATATTTTATGAGATGGTGAAGAAGCTGTGTAAATTTAAATGCAATACTAACCATCTTCCACAAAATTGACATATACCATTAATTTTATGTTCTTTCAGGTGAGCAATTAAGTCAATTTTATAATAGAAAGAATTATCACATGTATTACATTTGAAAGTTTTCTTATCTTTATCCTCATTTGTATGAGTCCAGGAATGGTTTTTCAATGCTAATTCAGTAAAGAAACTCCTTTTACATGTTATACATGGGAATGGTTTTAAGGTTGAGTCATTTTCGCACAGTTTGTCTTCAGTTTTATCATAACACTCAGCAGTTGCTTCACCTTTTCTTATCAATTTGATTGTTACATTGTCACTATCGACATCATGCAAATGGGTGACATCTTCGATAGATGTACCATTTTCATAAACTTTGGGTGAGCAAAGAGGTTCCTCAGAGTTTTGTAATACTAACATTGGATCAACACTAACTTCCATTTTATTGAATTCAGTTTCATCATCAGATCCCGATGCTGGCTCCAATTTTATTTCATGTTTAGGTGAAGTATCCGAAGCTTTTTCATTTACTACTTGGTCTAAATCTATACTGCGGTTAAGAAGTAGTGTTTGGGCATTGCGTGCAGTGTCAATAAAGTCACATACTATTTGTAGTTTACTACAACATTTTATACAAATATTTTTTGGTAGTTTATCATCTTCATCAACCTGAAAATAGAAGAGTCTATGAGATATATTTAATTTTAAAAATGAACATACTTCCGAAAAAAGTTTAGGTCAGACTGTCAGTATGCATCATATTAACTAATAAATATAGAACAAGTAATAAGCAAACAATCATAATACATGGTAAAATTATTTTACACTAAATTATGGAGGTGAATATATTTATAACTTACCTCAATCAATAAATATTGATTTAATTTGTTCTGAAGCAGCATTGCTTCAGCTTCTGCACTAAATATCATTATTGTTACATCTTGTTCTTCGGCACATAAACGACAGCACCTTTCGAAACTATCTCTAAGAAAATTAGCCATTATTACATGTTCATGTGAATGGCACTGCGATAATGATTTTTCCACTTCAGTTTTAAAGGGAAACAGCGCATGCGCCCTGCAAGATAGCGATGTTGTGCTTTGTATACCTTCAATAATGCTGCCATTTATTGATAGTTTTCTACGAGGTATAATGAAAGAGGCGTTACTGCGCAGAATCGTACAGAAAACGAATTAGGACAATGGGTATATTTGAGTAGTTAGTAAGGATATTTTTATTGGAATAAGAATTGAATAAATGCATCTTCTAATATTCATCACGGAAAGAAGTTCTATTTTGCGCTATTCTATTTATTTACGCGGCTAAAATAGCGGTGCGGAAATCAGCTGTAATGCTGTCAAGATGACATCAAATGTCATTTCAGGATTTTTTATAATATTCTTCCTCGTAGAAAGGCAAACGATAATAAGTCTATATGACCTTATCTTTAGTAATTTGATAAGCTTTTATGAGTCTGCTCTACAATAAAATTTTCAGCACCACGACCGCAATGACGTATATTTTAAAAATTCTTTTATTTATTCAGCTAAGCTGACATTTGTATCATGGTCGTAAAACAAAAATAACACCACTTTGAAATTACAATATTAGCCATTATGAATGAATAAGACATGAATTAAAAAAAGACTAAAACCTTTATTTTTGCAACCTATTGTGAATGCAGGGCCGGATAAGAAATCATAATATCCGATAGAAACAACGGTTAAAATCAGACATGTGCGATGCTTCTTGGCTCGACTCTACGAGGGCTCTAGAGTCAGGGGGGTCATGACCCCATAATAATAGATCGAAAGCAATAGCAGGGAAAATGTGCGATAAATATAAATATTATTTCAATGGCGAGGGAGCAGTAACCTGGCAAAATAATTTGATTGTGTAATTAGAAATAAAAAACTTACCAGAGTACTTGATGTTTCTTTTTCTGTTAGATTAATTATTTTCATAACATAACCCATAGAATCATGGAGCACCCCCACTAGAGTCCGCATACAAGGCAAGCGCTTACGCCAAGCTTAAGTAGTATTTTACCTATGCGTGAGGCACGCCCACAGACGTCGCGATACAATATTTCATTTGGTAACCGAGCGTCGGTCGAACTGCTTCTCTCGTTTTCGTGTTAAAAAACTGTAAAAAATGCCTTACAATGCAATTCAATTGTGTGGAAAGTAGAGTAAAACTTCCAGTCTTTAAAATATAGGTAGTATTACTTTTCACCGGTAAGTTTAAATACATTACAAAAAGACAAAAATACTCTTATATTAAATTGCTGTTAATTGTATTTATTTTTTGGTGAACGCGTTGATGTCTTTGTACAGTGTCCGTTTCTCGCATGCGCTATATCATATATGCTATCCCGGTCTCACACCGGCACGTGTATTGCTAGTGACGCAGACGCAGCTCATGTCTCAACCCGTAAGTTTATCGATAAGTTTGTCAGCTATGGAAATGGAAAAAATAAATAAAAACTATTTATTTCATCGTATTCAATAACAGATGTCATGAGTATACAACCAACAGTTTTTATTTGATTTCAAACATATCCTACTAAAATTTGAAAACGCGAAAATTTGTATGGATATTTGTTAGTCTTTCACGCTAAAACGGCTAAACAGATTTGTATGATATTAAATGCGCATAGTTTATGACCTAGATAAAAACATATAATTAAAGATATTAAATAGCCTAGATACGTGTCCCAATCAAGAAGTGCTTGAGCTCCTCTCAAGTACTTCTTGGTTCACAGTCACGCGCGAACCGCTGAAAAGTCAAGATGCCGCAAAGCTAAAATAAATAACTTAAATATATAAATCGAACTATTTGTGCTATTTGTGAACTTATGTGAACTATTTGTGCACTTTCTAAAATCGTCGAAGGCATTATTTTATCTTTTAAAACAAGTAAAAAATATCTGCAATATTATTTGACAAATTGCGACTACTGAGAGTATATGATCTGACCTTGACGCGTCTAATCACAACGGAGCTGACCTCCCTGCACGCCGCCGACTTTGGCGATTTTGATTCCAAACAAAATTTGTGTGATGCGGACTCTAGTGGGGGTGCTCCGTGCATAGAATCGAACCATTTGATAGATGGTTTATAGATCTCATCAGTGCCAGATCCACTTTTATCGCTCCGGAAGGAACGTAATTTTTTTTTTGGTAACTCAATCGTATTTTGTTAATTACGTTGTATGCGGATGTATTCTAACGACGCTTCACGCAAATCTCTATTCTTATAATTAGGATCCAAACAATTCCATAAGTTCGTTTGATCCTTGTATATAGGGTTACCAGATGAAAAAAATCAAAAGTCCGGAGAAAAGGCTTGTTTCCATTGAAAAATCCTGAGATTTTTACAGTTTGAGAATTTTCTCTCAAACGTACTTAACAATTTATAAAAGTCGTAATATTATCCATTATATACATGCTGTTTATACTTTTAATTCAATATAATTTGAAGAGCTTAACATGTGGGGCATTTTATAAATCCATAATTAAAGAAAAAACCACACTTAAAAATGTATCATCACATATAATGTATACACATCACATCACATATTATGTATGATAAAACTGATCAAGTACCTACTTGGATAAATAAGTACTAATTTGAACTATGCAATTATTATCAAAGAAAGATTATTTTTAGTTGGTTTAAGTTTTTCACAAAACAGACCTTTCAAACGTTAGCTATTTTTTAGTTAGTATTTTATTGAAAAATCAAATATCCTGAGATTTTAAGAGATTTGCAAAATCTAGCCGCAATCCTGAGAAGAGTCTAAAAATCCTGAAATCTCAGGACAAATCCTGAGATATGGTAACCCTACTTGTATAGCTCCAGAAACTTTAAATTTTGATCGGATGTCCACCTGTCCGCCATTTTGACGCCGAAACAAGACACTGCACCTGGGGTGGACCCGAGCGTATGAGCTACTGTAATTTCGCAAAATCGTGCGAGTTGACGACGGAGCGGCGTGCGAGTGGCGCGATGGGGGAGGGCGAGTAGCGAGTTCTCTAAACTTAAAACTAAATTTAACATCAGTCTCTCCTTTTCATTCTGTATAGAGAATGACTGTCTATGCTGTCAAATTTAAGTTTAGGTTTAGAGAATCATGCTAGAATCGACACCAATGTTGAAATAACTCGGACGCGACGCGACGCAACTGTCCCACTCGCCCAATACTCGTGGAACAACGCCGGTCCTACCCACTTAAACCCACCGGTACCCTCCTACGCCCATGTGGGAGCGTTTCAGGATCGGCGTACCTGTGTGTGCACCACTTCACTGGAACGCCCCCGGAAAAGGTTTTAATCAACAGATGAATGTAAGCCCTAGATGAAGTCGAGGGCATACCATAGGGTGCGGCCAGAGTGCACTCAGATTCAGATTCCGAAAACAAGCGCGAGAAATAAACAGTGTAGTCTAAGCAGGTTGCCTGCTTTTTCTCGCGCTTTGTTTTCTGAGTCTGAATTTGAATCTGAACCAGGAGTGCACTCTGGCCGTACCCTTCGACCAGACTCAGAAAACAAGCGCGAGAAATAAACAGTGTAGTTAAAGCAGGGTGGCCATAGTGGCCGCAGGCAACCTGCTTAAACTACAATGTATATTTCTCGCGCTTGTTTTCTGAGTCTGAATCTGAATCTGTATCTGAGTGCACTCTGGCCGTACCCATAGTCACCATTTTGTAAATAGCAATTCCGCACGATTGTCATACAACGTGTTTCAACATATTTGCGAGAAAACAGGACCTATACCTAATTTAAGTAATAAAGCTAACTCTTTCATTTAAAGAAAATGGCGCGCATTTTCAATTGGCGCCACGTACAAGTGGTGAAAATTAGAACTATATCTTTAGTCTCTTGTTTGGTATTAAAGTGAGACAAAGTTATGGATTAAGAGCGCTTCCAAGGAGGTTCGACCGAAATTAAACAAAAAACCGTAAAGGATACGCACGGTGCGATGTATGTATGTATTGCCTGTAATTTGTAACTTTCCAACAATCTATACGTTACAACCTCTGTAAATGCATTTTTTGAGCAAAGGACAATGGGCAAAACGCACCCAGCTCCGCCAACAATGTAATTAGTATGAATCGATAGATCTATGAAAACTAGTTTTTTTTATTATGACACCGTAAAAAAATATCCTGGGAGTAAAAAGATATGACACCGTAAAAAATATCCTGGTAGTCAAAAGATATTGCACCGTAAAAAATACCCTGGTAGTCAAAAGATATGACACATGGGCATATTTAAGTAGCTCAATAAATTAATTTTAAAGTACCTTTATTTTTTAATATTAGTAATCATAATAATATGCCTTATCGTACTATACAACCAGATATACGAAATCCTGCCGACCATCGTGCGCTTGCACTTCTGAGCTACCTCAAAAAGGTTTACGGGGGTTGACGGACTTGCAGATGCAAATAGTCGACTCGTCTTACTTCATTGTGATGTGCGCTCCCTGACACTTGATTGATTTTTATCCAACACGGTTTTGTCAATTAGTATGGATGAACTGGAATCATGTTTTCTCCGAAACATGGACAAGTTTGGGTGATTTGTGATCGCTCCGTTTTACAAAGAAGACAATTTACTATGTATAACGAACAGAATGATTGAAAAAACCCGCGGGGATTTTTGGATTTACTATAGTGCGGCAGAATAACATAAAGGGGCACCCTTGAACCTTGTGAAGTACTCCCATAATACCTGAGCCCCCCTATGTAGTGTCGAACTAACTAACTAAATTAATTCCATTGTTTCAATAATGTTCGTTCGTTATAGTACTTGTACCTACCTATTTAACTTAAAATAACTAAAGACCCCCGGGATGGAATTTGATGCGCTTTGGCACAGATTATCATGACTACAATACCTTTCAAACAAGTGTAGCTTAAGCCATGGCGGACGTGGGTGCAGCGTCCATACATTTTTACCCAATGTCCTTTGCTGTTTTTTTTATTTTCATTCCTTTTTTATCGTTAAGTATGCATGGAAATAAATTTAAATTATATGTTCATAGTAAAACATTAAATGTGTATAGAATACCACAGTAAGAATTGTACTAACTCGCGTATTGAATAAATTTCAGGCCCGCATTTTATTTGTATGCGGTGCTGAAAGTGGCATCTGGTGTCCTTATGCTGAGTATAGACCTGGAGTTCAAGCAGCCGGCGCAGAACCTTCTCGAAGATGTTATATCGGTGTTCAGGAACATCGAGATCGTCGCGCTTTTCATCGCCTGTTTTATTATGGGCAAGTTGTTCCTTCTTTTTTATCAAACAGAAGTAAGGGATATAACCGCGGTGGATAACGCCGGATTTTAGCGCTTGTTTGGAAAATAACTTCCACTGTGCACAGGCGCGGTCGCAGTCTGAAATTTTGGAGGAGGTCACTCACTACACTAATAAAAAGAAGAAAAAAGGTATCTGGAATAAAATAAACATTGTCGATTTTGCTAGAATTACCAAAACTACGTAGTTTGTCCTTGTTTCTAAACTAGAACCTACTAGATGTCATTTCCAAGTTATTTTGACGTAGTTCATTAAAACACCACTAGATGTCAGCAAACTATAAATTTATCGCTGTTAGGGGATAGCTAAAAATTTCCTTTTATTATTAGGAAATTTTTTAAGATTTTTCAATATGACCTTAGATTTGGGGGGGGGGGGGGGTTGTCATGTCCCCTGTGATCCCCCCCCTTCGGACCGCGCCTGACTGTGCAGGACACGTAACTCATCTTTTAATATTGTGTAGCTGTTATGTTATTTTTTTAGTAGTTAATGTGCATGATTTTTAGAGCTCCATGGGGTACAGGGAATTGGTTATGGCCGGCATTTAAGTTAGGCAATATCAGATAAATCACAATATAAATTGAAGAAACGTTCGAGTGATTCATTCAACTACGAAAATAGATGACCTTATTTGGAAGCGAAATGAACCGATAACAAGGAAGGAAAGCAAAAAGTTCAGGCTTACTATTTATATCAGACCCTATATTCAGTTCGAGGTTAAATGACACTTTTCCTCTTTGTGTAAAAAGAAAATGTGACATGCATGCGAAACATTTGCAAAACTTATATTACCTAATTAATAGTAGGTAAGTATAGTGGCGTCGTAATATAAGTAGTTCAAATGGTAGTCGAACGGATATAAGGATACTATGGGCTCTGGTCCCGGTTGAACGAAATGCTAATCTGTTTTTATTTAAGCCCCTTAATTGTGTATGTGTGAGTAATAAACAATGTGACTATGTAATTTTAGAGCTTTTGTTGTTTTTTTGATAAACGACATTGAAGTTTGGAATTAATATGAGCCCTTTATTGCACCGCTGTTACCCCCTAATAGGGATGGGCGTTTTTAGAATAACGATGCGCGATACCGATGCGCGATACCGATGGCAGGTTCGGATGCGCGCATCCGATGCGACTGGATGCCGTTATTGGACGCCAATGCCATCTAGTTTTTGTAAACGTTACCATAGCAACAGTGCCACAAACTTATCTGTGCCGGTGGGTGGAGATGTCGCTAGCGGTGAACAAATATGTCATAAAAATGTCAAAATGCTATGGATAAGTTGTAGTTCAAATTTTTGCCACCGGCACAGAAAAGTTTGTGGTACTGTTGCTATAGTAACGATGACAAAAACTAGATAGCATTGGCATCCATTAACAGCATCCAGTAGTATCGGATGCGCGCATCCAAACCTGGCATCCTGCCTGCGTTCAAAACCTACGCTCTGAGTGAAATTTTTTATGTAATAATTTTGCCAGCATTCAATCTTTTTAGATAACATACCGAAAAGTAAATAAATGGTTTTCGATTACATTTTCAAGTCCTGATTCAAGGAATTGAAGAGACTGACCCACACAGAACACGCATCTGTAGAAATTCAAATTGCATCGTATCCTGTGATACAAGATATCGACATTCAGTTGACGTCGATGCGATGCCGGCATCAATGCGATGCCGGCATCGATGCGGGCATCCGATGCGATTTATCTGATACCGATGCGCATCGAATATCTAAAATCGCCCATCTCTACCCCCTAACGACTTTATAAAACGATATTACTGCATCAAAAATCTTAAATAATAATAGTACAATTTTATTTTTTAAGCATATATTTGCTTGATGTTTAAATCTAAAGAAAATATAACTAGAAAAAAAATCCACGCGGACCAGGCAGCAGACGGGACTCGAACCCGCACCCTTCGCTATCCGGGTGAATGCACTGACCAATTATGCTAGCGCGGCCCTCATACCGCATCCCTGGTCCGCGTGGATTTTTTTCTTTTTTTCTAGTTATATTTTCTTTAGATAATAATAAGTAGTTTCGATATTGCAGGTACCGCGTGGGGGTACATCGAAAGCTTCCTGTTCTGGCTGCTACAGGACCTGGGTGCATCGCGGTCTTTGATGGGCGTCACTATAACAGTGGGCGGCGTGGCGGGCCTGCCGCTGCTTGTGCTCTCCGGGCCCATCATTAGACGACTGGGGCATGCCAATGTGCTATTCATAGGATTCGTCTTCTATGCCATTAGGCTACTCGGTGAGCAAAGGTCCTTTTTTGAAAGCTATCAAAAGAAAAAGTTCTTTAAAAGCAAACTGTAGGTCGGCAATGTGAGAATGGCTGGTATGGTTGGTGTGGCAGGTAAAATTGCTGCTTCAGCTGCCTACGCGTCTGGTCTTCACCATCAGTTTACATTAATTGGGTAGGTGGGGTCAAATTAAATAATTATTTCTTACTGTGGAAGTGGGCGGGACACGTAGCGAAGAGAACCGTTGGTGGTTTGGGTGAAAAGGTTCTATAATGGTGATTACACACAGGACAATGTTCAGTGGGAATGCCCCCAACGAGGAAGATCGACGATCTAGTAAAGGTCGCGGGAAGCTGGTTGTAAATAACGCAGTATCGATCAGTGTGGGGATCCTAAGGGAAGAATAATGCTCAGCAGTGGGCGTCCTAAAGCTGATATGATGACATTTAAGTTATTTATTTTACACATTACAATTTGTGTTCCGTTTGGCAGGTTACTCATTGATCTACAACCCGTGGCTGTGCCTTATCTTCGAGGCGCTGGAGTCGGTGACGTCATCGCTGTCGTTCACGGCCGCAGTGACGTACGCCGCGCGCCTCTCTTCCACCACTACGGACACCTCCGTGCAAGGCCTGCTGGGCGGACTGTACTACGGCGTCGGTACGTATACCTGATCACTCGTTGATCTACAACTGTGGTATGTCGAATCTTCGACGTCGCTGTCGCTCAACCTCCGTGCAGAGCCTGCTGGGCGGGCTGTATTACGGCGTCGATACGTTTGGCAGATCACTTGGTGATCTACGATCCGTGGCTGTGTCTGAGCTTCGAGGCGCTGGAGTCGGTAACGTCATCGCTATCGTCCACGGCCGCTGTGACGTACGCTGCGCGCCTCTATTCTACCACTACGGACACCTCTGCCCTCGTTGGCCTGAACCACCGGGTTCAGGGTGGCGCTGGACTTGCACTGCACGATTCCTGTGGAGGGCGGGCCCCTGATACTCCGGGGAAACGCATTTCTTGGGAAGGGGGGTAGCCTTGCTGACAATCAGTGACGGGGCTGTGGCAAGATCTTAAGTGATTCCCACGGCACTACCCGCACTCTCAATACGGTGACCAGATTGCGTGACGGATGACCGGTGCAGGAGTTTTGTCAAGGGTTTTACTGGGTTGAGCATTCCTCATTTCACCGAGCCCTGAAATGCGCGGGGGGGGGGGGGGGTCCTCAGATATATTTTCTCCGCAACTCCCGGTGGCAAGGAAATCGTCAAGTATTTTCCCCGACATAATACAAGATTACTCATTGATCTACAATTGTGGGTGTATCTGAATTTCGAGGCGCTGGAGTCTGTGACGTCATCGCCGGCGTTCAACCTCTATGCAACGGGTTCTACTACGGCGATACGGAATTTTGATGCCTTCATAGATGTAGCAACCATAGACATGGAGATCTGGAGAATGGACTGACCAATACCTGTATTAAATTGATTGAGAGTTTTATCGAGTTATCGACTTTTCTGACTCGGGATGGCTCTTTGACATCCAAGGTACCTACTACATACCAGAAAGAGAAGACATGTAGAACATTTTGAACCTACTATTACGCACGTCTAAAATATTGCTAATCTTTCCGTGTAGGTAGTCAAAGCTTATCGATGTGAAAGATTCTCAAACTTTATTATTTAAATAGATTGGCTAACCATCATAAGTTCCATCCACGCCTTCCATAGGTTATAGACACTTGGACCGGTATCCCATAGTATCACTCTTCCGTCGCCTACCGCGGAGCCCTGGAATCTTATTCGCAGATGACAGAAACACAACAACAACAAAACAGGATTATTTCACTGTGGTTGCCTGTAAGGCGGTGATTGCTTCCGCAGACCAGAGGGAGCTCCAATTCAAACTGATAATTCGCTATGCCCTTACTTTATAAAACATAAAAAAATACCCGAGATTAGCCCAGCTGTCTTTGTCAGCTGTGACAATGAATATTCCATATCGCAAATAATAACATTTCATTAATGTCCTAATCCTAACATACTGTATTACACCCTTAATGCTCTAGAGTAGAGAGATATTATAATAATGCTATTTTTAAGTAATAACTACTCAAGTTAATAACTTAAATATCTTACAATAAACCTTTCGTATTACAGGACGCGGTGCTGGCAGTTTAATAGGAGGCTATCTAATGAAATACTTTGGAACGCGACCTACCTATCAAATATTTGCCGCAGCTACATTGCTGACTGGTTTTATCTACTTTTTATTCAATAAATTTTACATCGGCAAGCGAGCCGTCGGTGATGAAAATGACCTCTGTAAGAAGAAGCCAGTAGCTGATATAGAAGGCAGAGAACCATGTAATGTGGAGGCGGAAAAAGTAAACTCGAATACAGATGCTGTTAAACTTGAAGGCGACAAATTGGAAAGCTGCGCTGCAGACGATAAGACAAAAGCAACCGACTTGACTCAGATAATAAAAGTGACTACGGACAACATAGATGGCGGTAGCGATTCTGGCGTCGACAACCCAGCCTTTAATGATACGGAGAGCACAATCGAATTGAAGAAGGAGGACAGTAAGGCTAACGGACAATGTTGACGATACTATAATTGTGACAGTTTAGATCGAGTAGGTGTGTAAACATACAAATTAGATGTAGGTATTTTAATAATGACGAATAGTTGTAAATTATGTGTATATAAAGAAATCATTATAATTTATGTATTAAAGATATTGAGAGTAAATCGAAATTTGATTCTATTGCAAGCTAAATTATAAGAATAAATCAATCAGCGATTTCAACACATTTGCTCAAAAAATGCATTTAAGAAGGTAGTATACATTTGCGCTTTTAGTCTATACCTAAGTATGTTTCACTTTAATACTTAATAGAAAAAAGAGACGAAAAGGTATAGTTCTAATTTTCACCACCCGCACGTGACGCCAAATGGAAATGCGCGCAATTTTCGTATTAGAAAAAAATTACATACTGAAATTATGCATAATTTTTTCTCGCAAATGTGTTGAAAAACGTTGTATGACATTCGTGCGGATTGGTATTACAAACTCGATTCGTATACTCGTTTAACCAACTTACCGCACTAATATCATAAATAACTATTATTTATATTAATAATATTATAAACTAAATAATATAAACTATTATACAGAGTGTTACAAAAATACAAATAAAGCTTGAAGGGCGTTGAAGTAGGTACATCATATAAGGAGTTCTCTAATTTTATTAAAATATTTGCATGAAATTTTAACTTTTTATAAAAACAGTTATTTTTAATGATTAATAATAATATCGATAATTTTAAGAGACGTTACTAGTTCGAGGATCATTAAAAATAACTGATTTTATAAAAAGTTAAAACTTCATGCAAATATTTTAAGAAAATTAGAGGAGACTCCTTATGTGATGCACTTCAACGCCCTTCAAGCTTTATTTCTATTTTTGTAACATCCTGCTTATAAAAATAACTATTATGATATTAGTGCGGTAAGTTGGTTAAACGAGTACCTATACGAATCGAGTTTGTAATACCAATCCGCAAATGGTTTGTTAGTTATATTGGATAGGCAACGCCATGGACGTATAATAATAATCTTTTTATTTCACTCAAGAAGAGTTACCAAGACCTATATGATAATGTACAATTTTACGTATTATATAACAGTACATCCTGCGTCCATAGCAACGCCCTAGTGAAAATTATGGGTAAGGTGCCTATCGCTAATGCAAACAATACTGATTGTGAACGGCCACCACAGTCAGCCATTAATAGATATCTTACTTTAGTTTAATTCAACGAGCTGGATGGCGCAGGTGGTCAGAGTGTTCCGTCTGCGATCATGGAAGTTTCGAAAACATTTACAATCGACGGTCATTGGGTGGGTGACCAAATACTTCTTTTCTCGAGCTCTGCATGTTCAAGCATAGAGCTTCAGAAGACTCGTTAAGCCACTGGTTCCGTTAGCATCTGCAGTCGCTAGCACCCACTAATCCGCACTGGACCGCGTGGTGCGTCATGACCCATTCTTAAGAAAGGCCTGTGCCTCAGCAGCGGCGATTTTAATAGGGTGATGATGACGAAAAAAGTTGGGTTTTATTTGATCTTATTACGCAGTAGACCACAGTAATTTATATGACGATAGAACACTAAGCAAGCTTCAGTTGTATTTTGTTTTTTATTTAGATAATACACATTTTTAAAACCGCTACCAAATAATGGTGGTCTTTATACAAGAAACGTTGCCCTGGCAATTTCCGAAAACGAGGGTTTTTGCAAATCACATGGCACGGAATCACAGATCATTTTTTCGGCTTTTCACATTATTTTAACTATTTAACTGCCTAAAAAGGTGACTGTAATAAAATAGTAAATCAATTATTATGAAGTGGCTCTCTTGCATTTACACTAAAATATTAAGAAACTAGTGGGTGCTCGCGACTTCCTCTGCGTGGAAATATCAGTTTACCATACAAACTTTGAACACCCGCAACTCATTTAGGGGATGAGTTTTAAAAAATCCTTTTTAGCGTACGCGTACATCACAATATCTCCATATTTCAGCGCAATCCGTTCAGCACCGACTACAAATGTTAATTTGACTTTAAATGTAGGCTTAAGTAAAGAATATTTCTTACTTTTTAGTGGTTTGTTTTTAGTCGGTTTATATTTTTGTTGAAAATTTTATTTTACAGTTTTTATAAGTCAGAGTAAGATCAACTTACTAAGAACTTGGTACTTGGCTTGCATTATCCGATATATCAAACACGAATTGAGTACTGTTTCTAATTTGTTTCATTGTTTTTTCCGAAAGTACTGATCAGATCCTTACCAAATTAATATGGAACCATCTCGCCAAATAACTGATTCAAATAAAACGAGAATCATGAAAATCGGTTTACGCCTCTCGTGAATATGCGCGAACAATAATTAAGAAATATACAATGACGAATTGAGAAGCCCCTTTTTTTAAGTCAGTTATCAAAACACTTTTGAACAAAAATAAAAAACATGTTCTTAAAAATGGAACCGCGTAAAATTATATATACATAATACATTTTCTACACTCAGAAATAATACATTTTCTTAGTCAAATTAATATTTGGAGTCCGTGCACGTCTGACAGATTTGAGTTCATTTATACAACTTGAGTTAGCATGGTACAAATATTTTAACTAAAGAAAATGTATTATTTCTTAATTTATATAGGTTTTGTTTTTAAGAAGTCGGTTTTTTTGTTTTGTAAAAAAAGTTTTTTTTTTCTATTTAAATAAGTCAGAGGTGTCGATTCTGGCATTATTCTCTAAACCTAAACTTGAATTTAACAACAGTGTATCCCTGTCATTTTTATACAGAATGAAAATAAGAGACTGATGTTAGACAGATAGATAAATTCTTTATTGCACACACACAAAAGAATACAAAAATAAGGAAACAATAACATAATGTGGGCAAAGGCGGCCTTATCGCTTTATAAGCGATCTCTTCCAGACAACCTTTGCGGTAAAGTGTAAACGAAGACGAAGTTGCAATATGCCAGCAAGATAAAATAAAGAAATGTACATATATTCTTAAACATATAAAGATTATAAACAAATAAATAACATATACCTACACAAATATACATAGTATGCTAAGTGTTAGTTTTAAGTTTAGAGAACCCTGTCAGAATTGATATCAGAGTAACATTAAATATAGATGTATGGCCTGCAATATCTCTTACATATTTCGTAAAATAACGAAACACGATGTGTACTGTTTGTTTTTGAGGAGTTCTGTTATTATCTTCGAAAGTATTAATCTGATCTTCACCAAATTAATTAATGGGGCCATCTCGCTAACAAACTCATCCAAATGTAATATTATAGTAAATATTGAGGATATACTGTGAAAACTGACCAACGGTTACCGTGAGTATTAAATGCAGTTTGCATCTTACAACCGTCTTTTCATTACTTGTTACACCAAACAAAAAAAAGAATCATCAAAATCGGTCTAACTCAGAGATATGTGCGACCTACAATAAAAATATACTGACGAATTGAGAACCTTCTCTTTTTCAAAGTCGGTTAAAAAGGCAGCCATTTTATTGAAGTCATTAAGGAGATATATGGTTAAAGGCGTTTATTTCTAACTTACGTCTCATTTAATTCGATATAATTATAACTACCGTATGGATGAAAATTGTATTTTAGTTTCACCTCAAATTCAACTAAACATTAAAGTTTTCGTGTGCCTTTCTTTGCTATAATTTCTGGTATCCCAATAACTATTACTAAAAATTTAATACTATTATTTCTACTATTTCCTTTTGCAGTGCTTTCTGGAACAAACTCACTCAAACATTTAGAACACGAATTAAACATTAAAGATTTCGGGTGCCTTTCTTGGCTATAATTTCTAGTATCCCAATAACTATTACTAACAATTTAATACTATTATCACTACTATTTCGTTTTGCAGTGCTATTCTGGAACAAACTCACTCAAACATTTAGAACACGAATTAAACATTTAAGTTTTCGTGTGCCTTTCTTTGCTATAATTTCTAGTATCCTAATGACTATTACTCATAATTTAATACTATTATTTCTACTATTTCCTTTTGCAGTGCTTTCTGGTCAAACTCACTCAAACATTTAGAACACGAATTAAACATTAAAGATTTCGGGTGCCTTTCTTGGCTATAATTTCTAGTATCCCAATAACTATTACTAACAATTTAATACTATTATCCCTACTATTTCGTTTTGCATTGCTATTCTGGAACAAAGTTACTTAAACATTTAGAACACGAATTTCAAATTAAATTTCAAATCAACCTGGCGAATTCCGCAGTGAAAAGGGATCTGTTCTTGCAGTAACTATTTGTACACGCGTGCTACGATTACAAGTTTTTTCATTTTTTTTTATTTACCGTGCTATGAACAGAGAAGGCTTAATAAGTACATTCGGATCGGTATTCGTTACTTAATAGAGAGATACCTATTTGAACAGCTATTTTCAGTGATCTATAGGTAAGGAGATGAGTTCACCAGAGGGCTGAGCTTATAAAATTTTAAAACTTATCTTTTACCATCCACTTTAACTAATCAAAATATAATGATTATGGAAGGATTTACGACAGAAACGATGTTAAAGTTACTACCACCACCACCGCCTCCGAGAGAACACTCGTTTAATGAAACCCTCATTAACGCAGTTCTTCGAAGCGTTTTTCTTAATTTGACATTTTTTAGAGAAGTTTCGGATCTTTTGATCTGATCGGAAAGGAAGCTTTATGAGTTTCTTTTGGGTTAAATTACATTTGAAAGAATTTTATTTTAGTAATCTCTTAAGTTTAACTTCCGGCTTGGTCAAAATTTTGTACTACATATTATTCTATAGTTTTTCACTTATTCATTATATTTATTTCACGACAGGATGGATGACACAGCCTTCAAAATGCGCCAGTGCCTTAATAAAGCCTACTAGTATTGTTTGTACAATAACTTATTCCTCATACTAGCTGTGATGATAGAATTTTACTACCTATGGTTCCCTTCACTGTTAAATTAGAAGTTCTAGTAAGTAAGTGCTGTATTACGTGTAGAAGTAGTTTAATTTTGATGTTAGAATTAACAATAAACATGAAATTCTATACATAGTTAGGTACTTACATGCGTAAGTAAGTAACGTAGAAATACTTTGTAGATTTCTCAATTCCTAAATTCAGCACGACAATCTAGTTTTTTTTTCTAATTTAATAAAGTTCATTAGATATAGACCTATAAACAATTATCGTCTAAGTTTTTACATGTCCTATTTGAAATAAGTAAAATGTTTTATATAGATATTTCACACTTTCTACTCAGGTAGGCATATGGTAAACGCTATATATTGTCCAGCTAATAGTGTAAATTGCGTCTCAGTTCGTGTCATCTAGATCGTGCCTTAGATGTGCTACTTGAGGTGGTACCGCTATAAATTAACACAGTTTTGCATACAACCGAACTGGATATGTGTGGCACCTGAAATCTTCATTCCAATCTTTCATCTTTGAGTCAGTCTCCATCCCACATACACGTAGGTCGTGCAATTGTAATGTGCTTTTAAAACCAATTAAAATGAGAGTTGTCATTTGTTTTACGTTGTTGGTGTATCTATCAAAAACAGTGTTTTCGCTGAAAATACCCAGCCAGAAAGTGCATGTTGTTACTCCATCTTCAAGGGCATATAGTGATGAAGGTCGGGGCGCACCATTTTACTATCATAACTGGAGAAGAAGAATGGATACACCAAAAAATGAAACGGCCACTACAACTTCAACGTCGACGACTTTGAAAACACCCGATTTGATTTTTGCCGAATTTGAATCTGGTGCTGGTGGTGATATGAGGAAATCTATACGAAATCTACTCGAAAAAGAAAGAATTAACCAAAAAACAAGTACTACGGTAACTTACAAAAGTAGTACATTACAACCAATATATGTACCTGATTATGATTCAATGGAAGTAGATCACGGAGAACTAACGAAGAAACAAGAAGTTGTGAATAGTGCTGGAGTACTTACTAATGATTTTGATATTTATAACGATAAATACAACAACGATAAAGCACCTACTTATCTCCCTTCCACTACTACTACGACTTCGTCACCGCCCCTGTCAAATGTTGAGGACATTTGGCACATCATCGATAACGAGAAACGTGATCAATACTCTTCGAACTGGAAAGAAGTACCGATTGATATGAGTAATGACGAAACAAAGTTAAACGAACCAAAACATGAACAATATAATCAAAATGATGAAAAACCTAAAACAGAGAGCGACGTGATTGACGAAAATTTTGCTTTACCAGGGTATGTGAATATTTAACATTTTTCTATACGTAGTATATTCTCTTGAAAATTTGAGGAATATATAAAATGTGACTGCTTAAATCTTAATGATGACATTTAGTATTATTTGTGAATAAGATATCGTCCGGACAAAAATATTGGTAGCCTATCATCTACAACAGTTTTACTTTAACTATCTGCAAGACTAGACTAGACTAGTGAGTGTATTTGTATTTGTTTACTTTCGCTTCTAGATAAGCTGGGAGACTCAAATTATATCGTTAATATTAAATCCATATTATATTTACAAATATATTTAAATAAATTAATTGTTCGCAGATTCCCAACAAATCCTGGTAACGGGGCAGAAAATGAATCCAGAGCTATTCGAACTGATCCAAATGTACATTTTCCTTATGTTAGCTTGAAACCATTTCAAATGAAACATGTTAAAAATCCGGTATCAAATCAATTTTCCAATAGCAAGAAAGGCCCAAATATGTATAACAGCTTAGATAATTTTAAGGAAATTCATCACCCTGTCAGAGGTGAAGTTCAGGATATAAATCTAATGCAACAACCTATAGAACGTTATAATCCTGCGCAACCTTATTTACCAAAAGAATATGGGACTAAATCAAAACAATCGAATCCTTCCAATACTCCTTCTATTCCATCAAAAGTAGTCGCGAATTTGGTGCCTCCTCCACCACCCCCACCACCAAAAGTGACAGACAATGATTTCCCTGCCCCAACAAGTTACGAATCGTTCCCACCGTATCAAATTCCGAGTTCTAATATAGCATCGGCTCCTTCTCCACTAGCAGCAAACCCACCAATGTCAATGTATCCTTCAGATTCTCCTCTCGATTCTCCTTCTTTTCCCTTAGTAAATGATGACTCCAATGATGGCCCAGGAGATATAAGTTATCAATATAAACCTCCGTCGCTCTCGTTCCGTCCCACTTTACCTCCGCTAAGTAAACCTTTTAGTGGTTATTCATATAATACGCCTGCTGCTTCAGTACCACAGACAAATAACGAAGCGGGCTCAAGTTACAACAAACCAGAAATGACAATGGATGCACCTCCATCAATGGACATGGATGAGGATGCTCCTCCTATGATTGATGATAAGCCAGATTTCCAGGGCTATCATTATAGTAAGCCAACATCATCAGAGAGTTTTGACTCCCATGACTCTTATCATCACAACGACGAATATCCTGAGCTGATTTTTAACAAACCTCATGGAGGGTCAGAGCCCGTCAAAGGTGGAAATGATATGAAAGACGATGCAGCAGGAATGATGCCACCTCCGCCACCAGCTAACATGATGCCGAATATGCCCTCAGAACCTGCAATGGATGATAATGGCTTTCCACCTGGCTTCCCAGGAGATTTTAAATTTCACCATGACTTTGACGACCATGACTTTTATCACCATCATCATCATCATCCTACAACAACAACGACCACGACGACGACTACCGAATCCCCTCGCGTTAACAGGTACAGTTACTACTACTTAGGAAAAAAGTTGTATTATTTGCCTCTGTATTTCAGCGTGTACTTCATTGTATATGTAGGTGCTCTGATCATCAAAGCAGTATTGAGGCATAAAATAGTATATCCAAACAGTTTTAGACCAAACGATACTACAGCTTCATTTTTCGCTAAACGATCCTTGGATTCATGGAACATGTCTAGTGAGTACTTACATGAAATAACTGGAAGAGTTACAAAAGCCATAGGGGAAGCCGCCGAAAAGTATATAAGCGAAACAAGAAAAAAGTAAACAAGATATATTAACTATAACACCTGTACATAAAATTAACAAATGGTTATAATTTAGCAGTAGACAGTTGTGGACTGGACATATTCAATTACTATGACTCTAATTTAACATTGTCACTGAATAAGTTTTGAATATAGTTCATTACCACAACTTTAAAATATATATAATAAAGCAGTGTATGTTAATCATAAGTTTGCTCAAAATATATTAAGATATTACCCAAACCTTTTCTTATTTCCCTTCAATTTTATAATATACTCTTTCTGTTCCTATAATTTTAAGAATGCGTTGTTCAAGCCAGAAATGGATAAAATTAAAAAATAAACAAACACAAAACAATACCTATTATTTTTTATTTGTATATGAATAATGTCCTAGAAAATGAGTTATACCTATTATCCATAGGTGGAATCAATATCCCTTGTAGTGATACGGTGAAAAATCTCGGTGTCACAATTGATTCCAACCTCTCATGGACAGCTCACGTCGCTAACGTTAGTCGTAAAATGTATTTTCCGCTTCACACATTAAAATGTTTGCAAAATTTCCTTCCCTTACATACTAAAATTGCCCTTGCACAATCTTTTATTCTTCCACTTCTCGACTATGCCGATACTTGTTATTTAGACGCTACGGAGGTATTACTTAATAAACTTGAGCGCCTGCAGAATCTTGCTATCCGATTTATCTTTGGGCTTCGTAAGTATGATCACGTCTCCAACTTTCGAAAGGAACTCAAGTGGCTCCCCATACGTCTGCGCAGGAATGTCAGAATCCTTTGTCTCCTCTTCCATATCCTATATAATCCTTCATATTCTTCCTATCTTCGGGAGCGGTTTTCTTTCACCCACTCGCCTAATGTTCCTTGCAGGTCCCATCTCAAATCACTACTCAAATGTCCTGTGCATAAAACCGAATTTGCATCATGCTCCTTTACGGTACATGCCGTCCGCTTGTGGAACTCGCTGCCAGCAGGAATCAGAGACAGCCCAACTGTTGCTACATTCAAAAAACGGTTGAAGGAACACTGTCTATCCTCTGGAATCACTGTTTCTGAACTCTATTGCTTCTCCTTTTTAACACTTATATATTTTATTTAAGTATATATGTTTATTTATACATGTATATAGATATATATGTAGGTTTTGTTTACGTAAGTATTGTATTTTGTTATTTATATTCAGGAGGCGCACACTGACGGATTTTTTTATGTTCTTTCCTTTCGCGGGCCTGCTGGAAGAAATTTCAATATGAAATAAGCAGTGCCCTTGTACAAATTTCTTGTTCTTGTTCTATTCTTGATCTTTTAGGAACTTATAATTTTCCGGGAAAAATAGTTTCATTCCAGGTCATAAATCATATGAGTGCCAAATATCATCCAATCCCGTTTTTGAGTGATTGCGTAACAAACATACAAACTTTCTCATTTAAAATATTAATTAGTAGACTGATCCTCAGTGGGATTAAAAGCCCGTTAGAGTGATTGCAACAATTCATACCAAGGATTTTTCAGTAATATATGGCAATTAGTATCTGGTAATGGTAAACTGTTATTATGCATCTGGTAATGGTAATGATATACGAGAAAGACAAAGTGGTAAAATAAAATCTTGAAAAGATATGTTTAGTGCACCATCCGTAGACGTAAAATGATGATGTTCACTGTTTTTCCGTCTGCCCCATGGTGTGAAGTGTCGTTGTGTCTTCATTATCATCACCCTATCATTATCATTATTTGTCATCACCCCTTCTGCTGGGGCACAGGCCTTCGAATCGCTAAAATTTCGCCATAATCTACCACGAGGTAGATTATGCTCATTGCAGATTGGTGGGTACTAACCAGTAACTTTATGCCTAAACAGCCATTCTTAAACTTTTTAAAATCAGTTTTTTATATTTTTTTATTTTACACTTATGTTGTTATATCGTTTACATTTGTAATGGAAAGTGACTTCATGAGTTATCTCATATTGAAGTCATTTTTCAATTTGACGACTCTGTATATAATACAGGGACAAAAAAACAGCCCTTGTTGAGTTTCTTGCCGGTTCTTCTCAGTACAAGGTCTCCCGCCGTAGATTTCCGAACCGATGGCATAGCTTTTCGACATTCACAAGTGCTTGTGACAGCCTAGACTGAATAAACGATATTGAATTTGAATTTAACGACTTCGAAGAAGTAATAAGTTTTTGGTAATTCATCTGATGATCAACCATTGCGAAAGTTGCTTCATTTCAACGATCGCAGACTGAATGCTTGCGCTAGCGAGCTCCTTCAATTCCAATTAGGAAAATTAATATTACATAAGTATTAGTTTTCACTTTAGGTATTTTCTTTACTGTGTCTTTGAATATTATACTATCTAAACCACGTTGCTGGATAAAATTCAACGATAATAACCCTTTAATGTGTAGGAATACGAGCGATACTCGAGTATTCATTGTCGAGGCCTCAATACCAATTTGGTCTGTAGACAAATTACAAACTTATCATCATCATGTCAGCCGTATGACACCCACTGCTGAGCATAGGCCTCCCTCAAGGATTTCCACACCGATCGGTCTTACGGCTAAGCTTATTCAGCGTGTACAAAATGCCTGTGCGCGTTTCTGTTTTCATATACCACCACGTTCACATGTAACACCTTATCTAAATGCTGCAAATATGATGAAAATGGAATCGCGCAGGAGGCTTCATCTCGCCATACTTCTGTTTGGCATAGTAAACACAAAGGGACCGTGTTATCTGTACAGAAAGTTGGTATGGGCGAGGGACCATAGCAGGTATCCAAGGAGAAGGATTACTAACGTTTTTGTGACCACAAAACATCGGACTATGGCCTTCCGTGGTTCTTTTATGTTCGCCGCTTCCAAGTGCTGGAACGATCTTCCACCGCCTATACGTGACCTGCAAACAGTGCACACATTTAGACGTCATCTTAAAAAACATTTTATGAACCTGCAATTAACAGGAATAATTAAACTTACTTTAGGGATGTTCACAAAAAACAATTTTTGTCGGTGAAGACGCTCCGGCGACCTGCGAACGGATTTTCGGGCCACGGAATCTGAATTTCGTTCGCTAAACAACGCCGATCGTAGAGTGACTTTCTCGGCCCGGTTCATAATGAAAAATGTTTTTTGTAATGCTGTGCCACGTTTTAAAATGGACGTGGTTTCATTACATGTAGTCTTGTCTCCATTTTGTTGAAAATGTTCCCTAAAATGGATAACAAAAATAATGTTTTTTCCCCTCTTCTTATTGTGTGTCCGAAGGCAAAGCCTACACAGCCTCTTAGATTAAGTTTTTTGTTTTAATATTAATAACTCCTCTTATTTGTATATTAAGTGATTGTCTTGTGTCTCCGTCCTTTGATATCCAAATTAGGTCCCTCCAGAATATCAGCGTTGCAGCGGAAATCCATTTTTGCCGTTGCAACATTATGCTGAGCTGAGAGAATGTGTATTTATTGTAACTGTTAATGTAGGTATGTCGTCAATAAATGTTTTTCTTTCTTTCTTTCTTTCTACGCCACTCGCATCCACGGTCGGCTTCTCGTGACCCTAACAAAATCGTCCGTCCCCCCTACAAGGTGGACCGAAACCTTTCCGCCCCAACGGCCATCGGTTCTTCTTGCTACGTGTCCCGCCCACTGACACTTCAGCAGAGCAATCCTTTGAGCGATATCGGTTACTTTGGTTCTTCTATGGATTTCCTCATTTCTCATTTGATTCTATCGCGTCGCTTTATCTATTGCTCGCTGTGTCACCTCGAGGCTTCTTATGAGACTCGCAGTAAAAGACCACGTCACGCTTCTGTAGGTCATCACTGGCAACACACTGCCAACCAACCAATCCAGTATCAGCTTACCGCTCGCTCTCAGAAGTTCTGCTATGATTCCATCATCGCCCGCCGTTGTCTTGTCCTTGTTGTTTTTAAGTTATTCGAGAGCCATACTAATCTCATACAGACTGACGTCCGGGATATCTTCGGTATAGTGTCGAGTAAGCTTGGCTCTGGGGTCTCTAGCCTTGCTTTCAACAGGTGCTTGCGTGGAATATAGCTGTCCATAGAAACTCTCAATTTGCCTCAGGATTTCAGCCTTAGACGAAATGATGCTACCGCTATCACTTTTCAGCTTCGTCAGTTGGCTTTGCCCAATAGACAGATCTCTCTCGCGAACACTTTGAAGCCTTTGTTGCGCTCGATAGCCTCTTTAATACAACCCGTATTAAATCGTCGAAGATCGCTCGTAATGTACTGTGATATCTGTCTATTTTGCCGCCGGTACTGACTTCCATCTCTTCAATTCTGTAGCCTCATTTCGTTCCGCTGTTCCTTGTGTAGGAAAGTATTGTCCGAAAGTTTCTTTATTTTGGTACGGTGGACTTTAAAATACTTGGACCCTACCGTACGGACAGTATCCACCACCGTGTCGTTCAGATCGTCCACATCTAAGCTGTTTTCAAGGCGAAGGATTCGAAGCGGTTTTGAAGTTCGAGTTAAAAGCTTTCGGGATTCTGGAGTTGTGCAGGCATTGATCGGAGCGTAGACTTTATTATTCGAGATCTTTCGAGCTTAATGTTTATATTCAATGTGCCTCGTACCGGTGATCACTTCCCGTTTTGACGGCGTTGATTACAGAGACATCATTAAAAATTAACTTTTTCGTCGACATGATAAAGTCGATCTCGTTTTGGACTTTGCCGTAAGGACTCATCCAGGTCCATTTTCGATTTTGCGGTTTCCTAAAGAAGGAGTTCATCATATAGAGGTTCTCTTGCTCCATAAAATTAGCCAATTCCAAATTGCCGCACTCTCAACTTATCACCGTAACGCTTCCCCAACCTTGCGTTAAAGTCCCCCATCACAACCGTGTTGTGTGTTTTGTAATCCCTCATAACTGATAATATCACAGCGTAACTTACTAATAGCTTCTTTTTAACTCTATTAGCTTAGCGGTGGTCCTGAGTGTGTTGTAGGTTGCCAGGTCGAGTCATCGTAGGTGGTAGCCGGATCTTACCCGGGGATTCGTAGCACCCCTTGCCCCACCGTTACCATAGCTGCTACCGTAGCTAGAACTAGCAGGGCTGCCGGGGGCCGATCTTAAATTGTGCTAAACATCTAGGGGATTTGCCATAATCGCCACGCTTGGCAGGTGGGTTGGCGATCGCAGTACAGTCAAGATATTGCAACAAAATGCTGCTGCCTGTCTTCAGCTAGCTGTGCTCCCTTAGTCGCCTTTTACGACACCTATAGGACGAGAGGGGTGGTGCTATTCTAGGCCGGCACACACACGGCACGACGACTACAAACTTATACTGATGTAAAAGGAGATTGCTCAGCTTCCATACATGTTTGGCCTAAAGACCAATAATCATGAAAATTTGTTTCCTAGATTCGAAATTATATATAAACTACTGTAGAAACAAATATTATTGACGGACACCCCTGAGAACTTCTATAAACCATATACACTGAACATATTAAAATAACAAAAAAACAAATAAGTTATACAGTAAACTAGAGAAATCAAGCCAAGTACCGAAATTATGGATTAGATTCAGGTATATAGAGCATGTAGATTAACAGATACTTGCCTGTTTTTAAAGTTAATACATAAGAGTAACTTATAAAATCAGGTGTCATCTATGCATTTCCGGTTATAATATGGTATTCTGTGACAAAAACTGTGTGATGATTGTGAATGAGCCACAGATTAGAGATAATTACCCGGCTGCGCAATGCAAGAGCGCGAAGCGCGACGCGCAGACAGGGTTATGTGTTTAACAGTCTATATATGTATGTTTGTTCCTTTGTGGCACACTAGAGACCAAACGCCTGGACCGATTTTGATGATTCATACATCAATCGATTCGTCTCAATCATGGGAGTGCTACTAAAGATATGATAGTCATCAAAATTCAATATGAGCAAAATTAGGCGCCATATTGCGACGAAGTAAAAAAAAAAAAGTTGACAAAATATGTCGAGTGGGGTATCAATGTCTAGACAATCAAAAATCATGTTTAGGTTCCTAACACCATTTTTCATTTTATATGATTGTTTAGGATCTACAACGCTTTAAAGTTGTATATTAACCACTTACGCTTTTAATTTCAATTTTACGTTTGTATGGATCTTTGTTACTCTTTCACCAAAAAGATACTGAATGGATTTTAATGAAACTTAACAGTAATATAGCTCATATATGATAATTACATATATATAATAATTTATGTAGTTATTGAGTGAATTGGCCAATATATAGCAATAAGTGTCACATAAGACGGAAAAAAGGTAAATTTAAAAAATCAAAAAACCCGACTGCTTAATTATACTTCAAATAAAAACTGAAAAGAAAAAAACAAGTCCAGTAGTCTATAATTCTGTTAATAAGGAACAAAACTACTTTAACAGTCGGGACCCATTAAATATTCAAGAATACATAATATTTTTCAACAGTGGGTCCCGACTGTTAAAGTAGCTTTGTTCCTTATTAACAGAATTATAGACTACTGGACTTGTTTTTTTCTTTTCAGTTTTTATTTGAAGTATAATTAAGCAGTCGGGTTTTTTGATTTTTTAAATTTACCTTTTTTATTTCACACTTTTTAGTTAGTTAGTATTTTAAGACGGTATATACCGTAGTCTTGTTACTTCAGTAAGGGAATTAATAGCGCGGGAATTATTAAGTACCTTGCGTCGGTCTAAAAGATTGATTTATTAAGACATATAAAGACTTTACCAGCGGGGTCAAGGCTACAGATGGGCCTCAATTTTCGCAAAAATGTGTGAAATTAAATCAAGTCGTTACATAAATATCTCTAATGTATGTAAATTTTATAGTAAACTAGCACTTACTCAAAAAGTCATTTTTTGTTTATGTTTTTCTTAATAGTTTAGCAGTAACTATAAAATTCATTTACTTTTATTCGTCGACTATTTAAAATTGGCAGTGGCTGCATTGCCATGTCAATGCCGGACGTCTAAGATTGTGATATACACAAATTCAGTGTCAGTCCCTAGTCTCATAATTTGATATACCTACATAATTCACAGAAACCCAATATGTAGATGCCAGAAGTTAACTTCAAATGTTTTTAATCACCCTATATACAAAACCAATCAATCACGTTTATGTCGCAGGTTGAAGAAAGCAGTAATTCCCGTCTGTTGTTTTGGACAATGGTGGCAACTGCCTTAGATCACTAAATTAAATAATTATGCAATCACCAAAGCAAAGTTTATGATATTTGATTAAACTAAAGGCGCATAATAAAATTTTCATAACGTTAGGTAGAGCACCATAGCAATCTCATTTATTATCAATTTATAGTTCTCTTTGTAGTTTTCTTTTAAAGCGTTCAAATTTAACAGGTCAAAGACTTTGTGTTCGACCCTTTTTTATTGGTAGTGTAAAGCTCGAATGAAGAGTACTACCAGTAGTGCAATCATGCCAATTATTTTCCAAATTTTTTTTTGTTTAAAAAAATACCGAATAACGTATCACTGTTAAGCACAAATGCTAAGTAACTTTTACAAATATAATCAAAATAAACCTATTACTTACTTTATTTTTAAATCTTTTTCATCAATTAAATACTTATCTTATCCTAACTTTCTATACTAATGTTATAAAGTGGCAAAATTTGTATGTTTGTAACAAATAATCTGTCAAACTACTGAACCGGTTTCAAATATTAATTCATCATAAGGTTGCTACATTATTTATTATAATATTTTTCTTTATTTAAATACATTTTTTCCGAGTGACATAGGCTATATTTTATCCCGATAAATAAATTTCGCCCGTACTAGTAAGTATAATATAATATTATAGATGCGAAAGTGAGTTTGTTTGTTGCGCTTCCGTGCCCTAATAGCTAAATCGAATATAATGAATTCCCATATAGAAGTACATGGGAACTTGGTTCTTAGCTACAACATCGCAATACTTATAGGCGTAGGGTGATGAAAGGGGTGATTTACCTATAAAAATCTACATTATTTACTTTGAATTTTGCAGAATTATTACAAAACCAATATTATCGCGAGCTGATTAATAAATACAGGGATTCCAATAAGTATGTACTTACTAGCGAAAAATGGGTTATTTGTCATTATATTAAGTAAACCTTTTTTTGTAAAATTAAGTAATATCGTTAAAAAAATGAAAAACAGTAAAATTCTGAGTTTCTCATTAAAATTGAATAATCATAAATACCCATTATGATAATATATTTTTCATCATTGAATAAGAAGGAACTGTATCACAGTTTTATTGTTAGTACTTCGTATAGGATCAGATACTGCGAACACCCCATTTTTTTTTCTTTTACATAGTACACCGCGCTATCACTTTGTCATCGTGGTAACTTTTTAAATATTTGTCGAAATGACATAGTGTAAAAAGCAAAGTTTATCGTCTTTAAATATCAAAAGCGATAAAAGTATTTGTTTTGATAAAAAATGATTTGTTAATACAAAATGTGCATTTTGGAAATAGATATCAAATAATATTTTAGTTTTGATTCACTATTTTAGCGGTAATGACTTACACATTAAAAATAGATATATGGTGTCACGGACTTTCTTTAGAACTATTTAAGAGATACATTTTCACTCTACATTACATTCATGTAACTTTTATTGTTTTTGCAGTGCAGGCCAAAATGGCTCGCAGATGGGAGATTTTTTTCCGTCTTATGTGACACTTATTGTTATATATTGGCCAATTCACTCAATAACTACATAAATTATTATATATATGTAATTATCATATATGAGCTATATTACTGTTAAGTTTCATTAAAATCCATTCAGTATTTTTCAGGCGAAAGAGTAACAAAGATCCATACAAACGTAAGATTGAAATTAAAAGCGTAAGTGGTTAATATACAACTTTAAAGCGTTCTAGATCCTAAACAATCATATAAAATGAAAAATGGTATTAGAAACCTCAACATGATTTTCGATTATCTAGACAGTGATACCCCACTCGACATATTTTGTTGACTTATTTTTTTTACTTCGTCACAATATGGCACCTAATTATGCTCATATTGAATTTTGATTACTATCATATCTTTAGTAGCACTCCCATGATTGAGACGAAACGATTGATGTATGAATCATCAAAATCGGTCCAGGCGTTTGGTCTCTAGTGTGCCACAAAGGAACAAACATGCATATATAGACTGTTAAACACATAACCCTGTCTGCGCGTCGCGCTTCGCGCTCTTGCATTGCGCAGCCGGGGAAAAAAATGTCCCATCTGCGAGCCATTTTGGCCTGCACTGCAAAAACAATAAAAGTTACATGAATGTAATGTAGAGTGAAAATGTATCTCTTAAATAGTTCTAAAAAAAAGTCCGTGACACCATATATCTATTTTTAACGTCTAAGTCATTACTGCTAAAATAGTGAATCAAAACTAAAATATTATTTGATATCTATTTCCAAAATGCACATTTTGTATTAACAAATCATTTTTTTATCAAAACAAATACTTTAATCGCTTTTGATATTTAAAGACGATAAACTTTGCTTTTTACACTATGTCATTTCGACAAATATTTAAAAAGTTACAACGATGACAAAGTGATAGCGCGGTGTACTATGTAAAAGAAAAAAAAATGGGTTATTCGCAGTATCTGATCCTATACGAAGTACTAACATTAAAACTTTGATACAGTTCCTTCTTATTAAATGATGAAA